CTAGAGACTAAGGTGGCAGCTCTCTGCTCCGTTACTGAGAAAGTGTAGAGCAATCCTTTTTTAATAACTTTATATTTTAAATACTTTATATTTTAAATCTGGAAGGAATTAGTGATTTGTCCGTCATCCGTGTCAAGTGTTTTGTGCGATTCGTTAGTTTAGGGTAGTTTAACATTAGATACAGCTCAGATATCATGATCAAATAAACCTCAGATATCATGGTCAAATAAACCTCAGATATCATGGTCACGGTCAACTGTGCACAATAAAATCAAAATATCAGCTTTATTCGAGTAGTAAGACAATAGATATCCCACAAGATATTAACAGACATAGGTTGGAAAATACTGTGAACGTTGACATGTGTGGACGGATGAAATACACGAATATTAAGAATAGAGCACCTGTGCTCAATACATTTCTGCTGCAGTCAAATCAAGATCATTGGTTTCACATTTACATTGTTAGACTTCAACAATCAAAGACTGCCCCCTATGTAAACAAATGTTGACATATTGATAGTTAATTACTATAGTGAACTACACTCATATCAGAAAGTCTCAGCCACAGCCCACATACGACAACTAAATATCAATAAGTTGGTAATGTCCTGACGTCGAGTTGCTTCCTTCGACAACTGACAATTTTAACTAGATTTAAAGATTAAACATTGAAGAGACGATTTCTGTTCATTATTTTCCCACACACTGACCAGATTCTTACGATATTTCTATAGCTATTCAGTATTTGTTTACCATTACATATGTCTAAAGCAAATAATTACAAGAATTACTATTTTTACCGGAACAGCCATTAGATAGTAGATACTGTACTAAAAACTGTGATAAATAATACTTCAATAATCGGTAAAAATAGTGAAAGCGATCATAGTAAATGCAAATTATGCAATCAAATTATGTAAATGCAAATTATGTAACATCAACAAAGTCAAACCAAACCGTAACCTGACTAAGTTAATAATAGCTACGGTATATAAAGCAGGTTTTAGCAGGAGAGACCACGGCCGTGCGAGAGCGTTGACTAATTACTAACTTGTTTACACACATCAGCTTGGGTTACGGGAGGTCGGTTAGAAATACCTCTACTCTGGGTTTGAACTGATGCGGCAGTTATTTACATTGGCAACACACGGCGGAATTACATCTGCGAAAATGTTTTGTGAAAGCTATCGCCGACGATCAGGGAAAATGACTAGATGACAGTACAGATACACGCCTCTCTCTCACGATACTTAACTATCAACTACTCAACTAGAACTAAATGTCGTTGTGAAGAACAATGGAATGTACGAGTTGTCTGGTTGAGAAGGAGTCAATGGGTGTTTGTCAGAGTGCAAGGTGTGTAATTTCACCCCCGTCTCAGGAACTTGCCTTGTTGGGGGCGGGATAGTCCCGCCCCCAACCTCTACATGTCCTCCACCACAGATCATTGGTCAGGAGGATATTGGAAGTATTTGATACTTTGTTAGACTGCTTCAATTGCTTGACACTCGCGGATGAAAAGGATAGACAAAACTTTAAGAGGTGTCAAGTTGGGAGAAATGTGTCTGTCTACTTTGGAGTTAGACAGATTGGGCTGCAAAAAGTGAGGTCATTCTTTTAACATGGTGAAAAGTGTGTTAAGGTGAAAGAATTGGAGAACTGGAGATGGTTGCCAATTTCTAATAAATCCAGTCATCGTTAGTCATCACTATACACAACTATAGTAAACCTAGTCACCAGAATTACATGGTTTGTAACAGAGTATGGATTATTGGACACACTAATGGAAAAAAGCCTTTCGTACTTTAGTGAATACGTTACAAACTCACCAATCTTAAACAAAATGAGGAAGTGGTAGTGTTATTTCAGTTCACAAATTTCGAATTGATAAAAAATGGAAGAGATAGTTCGCTGTTTATAATTTTCCCACACACCGACCAGAATCAAACGATGTCCGTATTCACACATACTCATATGATATATTTTCTAAAATTAGAATAGATCTCGAACATATTACGTAAATAATAAATAGTTGCGAGATTCCATACCTAAAAGCTCCGCAATTCACTAGTCAAAGAGAGACAAAGAACAAGTAAAATCAATATCGATGAGTCATGAGACTACATAATTAGGCGCTGCTGTTAGACATTATTTGAACTACGTCATGAATTTTCGCACCTAAATTTTCATTTTAGTGACTTAACCGGCATTAATATTAGAGACAATTTTGGCTGCTATAGTGACAAAACGTAACGAAATCAACAAAATTAAATAGAACAAAATTAAAAAGTTATAAATCACTGGAATTGTGGTGTTTTAATACGATCAATAATTTAATAAAACTGAAAGATGGTGCTCGGCTGATATGATGATGGTTGGTGAATTAACAAAAAATCTACATTCAGTTACTTAACCTCCCCTCACATAGAAGGACTGATAACAAGCTTGAAAAGAGCAAGTGCAATCAAGTATCTTTAATTAAAGAGCTAATGAAATTAATTGCTCGGTGACAGGCACTAGACCTTTTAATAACATAAAGCTGAGGGCTTATCCTGACAGGTTCCTATTATGGAGGGGTGGAGGTTCTTATGAAAGCTCTGCTAGTTTAATACCTGCTAATGGAACTCAGTATAAAGTTACGATAATTGCGCCGACGATGACGGGAATGAAATGAATTTAAAAAAAATACAAAGTATTGAAATATGGAAAGAACGAAATATCCACATTTAGGCGTTTACAGACCGACATAGGGCCGTCAGGAGTGTCACCTGAAATATAAATGGCTTCCTTTAAAGCATAGCTTTCCCTTTTGTATAGCACTTTTAGTTGCGTGCAGTAGGACGTAAGCAAATAATTAGGCCATAACAGACCTCAACAGGCCATAACAGGCCTACTTCCAGTGTAGAGTTTAACGCTGATCTAAACTAGAAGCTATGATGAGAGGTTGATATGATATAAGTTGCTAATAGCATAATAGAAAGTCAATACAAAAGTGGTGGAGCTATAGAGTTTGGTGACGCTGCATGACACCTAACCACAATATACAGAACTGTGACCCAGTCGAGACTGCCCAGTCTTGGGATAATAAAGGCAAGCAAACAGAACATTACTTTGATTGTAACCTCAAGAGTAAATTCATGAGTATAAGTAGCGAACTGCCTGTCAACAACTGAGGAGTAGCGTGAAATTTCAGACGGTGGTTAAAGAGGGGTAGAAACAAACAAACAGTAACAAAACAGAGGGTTATCTAGTCTGTGGGAGAATTAGACAAACTATCACTGTAACAACAACAACTTGTGGTAATTTAGCCTGAGGGAGAAAGGGTAATCTCGCCTCGTTAATTAGATTGTGGGTTAGAACAATTCAAACTAACGGCTCAACTTAACCCAGTCTTAATTTCCGGGACTACTGTTTAGTCTTGTTTAACCAGTGGTTAATGTTCAGCTACTCGGTTAACATGGCCACCAATGTGGACTTGACAACTGAGTGATGTCACTCATATTGCTACTGTTAAATACTAGACTTGTCTTTGGTTATTGGTTAATATTTCAGAAGTTTCATAATTGTGTGCCAAAACCAGTAGAAACAGAAATATACCAAATAAACGGAAACGAAATTCACAAATGAACAATGGTAAATAACAACAATGCATGAAAGAAACGTGAAGAGAACAAAGCGATAGCAGTAACCACAGGAACGCATATGATTAACGTCGGCCAAATCACCCCGCACACTAAAACACTCTCCATTCACAACTGAGTGTAAAAACTTGTGCAGAAAGGAAGTAGAGTGTAGAGGATTGTCAGGGAATTACAGTAGAGGATCACTTCCACGACACCTCTGTGTAAACGAATTGCTTTAATAATCCGCGAAGGTGTTTAAGGCAAGCACATGATTCCCAGACTGAAATGGATTAGAGGGTACCAGTTAGGGGGTTCCAGTTCAGTCTGTGCTTCCAGGGTTTTATTTGGAACTTTTACACCAATTACGTAATTGGCAAAACAATTGAAAACTCTCTGGGAAGTACAGATTACAGGGCGATAGGGATTGCCGGTCACTGAATGAGGGGCTTCTTCGTTGACTAAACAAACAATCATCGACAATACAATATGATTATGACTGTATTTTACCGGTATGAATTGTGATAATTTCATCTTCCACTGACGGTAACGATTTATTCATTATACAGACCAGAAATACCTCAGTCTGGTGTACGTGGGTGTGTGTCTATAATATCCTTCAATATAAACGGAGATGTCAATATTCGAATACTTTTTGTAGAATCATACTCATACCTCTTCTTCTAAACAAGCATTTACACACTGTCCTCCACCTAGTTCAAAATTACCAACGTCTATTATAAAGTAAATGGTATGATACTCCCCGTAAAACTATTCTCAATTGTTAGTTTGTCTAAAGCACTATAATATTATATAATCACTATTTTTAGATTTCTCACTGATCATCAGTCATCAAAGCTTCGGTTGCTTTTATTTACCTGATGGGAGTTTAAAGATGATTCTGATTTCTTTGTTCAGATGTTTACTTTTAGGTAGACAATGGTAATGGTTAGGACTGGAAGTAACGCTAGTTTTCATCCATTTTGGAATCAAAATTCTTCCGTTTGGAACGTCACCTACCAACCACGTCTATTGTATGATTGTAAAGGAGAAGCTCGGTGGAGTAAACTCAGCTTTAATTTATGGACAATTTCAGGAGAGAGTTTCTTTTTCAAACGCCGTGTAATTTAAATATACACATATTTAGGCGAGGGTACAGGGTCAAGCGAAAGAGCGGATGGAGAAATTGATAACCCTAATTATGATGTGGTATAATAATTCACTTGTAGTTTGAGCAAATTTTCTATCTGACATTCGTGATGTCAATGAATAACAATTAATATTAGGTGCTCAGTTATTCAACTTCGATATCTTTATTATTATTTTATTATCTTTCTATTGTTTTCGTTCATTTATATCGAAATAACACATCTAATCTCGCGTAAGAAATGAAACATTTTTTTTCTGAATATTGATTATAAAATTTTATGATATAATCTTGTACGCGAATTGCTAAGAGTTTCCGAGATTTTATCCGTTTGAAATTCAAAAGGCTACCACTACCGGAAAACCCTAATAAATCCTCTAACGAAGAAGAAAAAACAGTTTTTTAAAACTGACATCTGAAAATGAAATGGTCACATATTTTACTCCATCAGAGGAATTAGAAAATACGATAATTATTTAAAAGTTCCTACTACACTTGCTCTATTCTAAGTAATTATTGTGTGAAGGTAGCCTGTACCAAATAATAAAATATCATTCAATGTTCATCTCTCACTCAATTCTCAATCAACACATTTGCATCATCCAGCCTTCTTAATACCCGTCTTTTTATTTCTCTGAATGTATCGAAACTAAACCAAAATCGGCAAATCAAAACATATTTTGATTTTTTCGGCGTCGTCTCACGACCAAGCGTTCATATAAGCCCCCCTATTCCGCACAGTACGTCACTTAACTTTCTAGTCTCTGCAGTGAGATTGTATTGTTTTGGAAACCAGAGCTAGATACCCACCCAGGTGTGATGGTTGTTAAGGAGATATGATATTTGCTAAGGAGAGATATGCTTGTTGTTAAGTAGATAAGCACACGTTACTAAGGAGATATGCTTGTTGCTAAGGAGGCAACGAAACATCACTCTCCGAGCTTATATCCTGAGTATCACTGTTCTCATTATCGGAAGAGTAAATGAGACTAGATCTGGTGGAGAGCGAAGCCCCGGTCTTCCTACTGGGAACTGTCCGTTTAGCCTTGCTCCCCCTCTCGCTCTTCCGATCCTCCTGATTACTGTGAGTCATCCTCTCCAGAGTCTTGTCAAACAGTTCCTGAGCGAAGTTGTGGGGGTCGGCGGGTTTAGCGGAGTTGGTCCGCTTGTTGGAGATGGGGCGTGCCGGGTTCCGGGAGCGGGGTTTGGGCAGGGATTTGCTACTGGTGTAAGGGTTCACCCCTCTCACCAGACTGTCACTGTCTGTAGGTGACTGGTTGTTGAACCCCTCTGGCATTGAGTTGTGGTGGTAAGGTCGGGCTGGCACCCCCGCGTCCCTTTTAGAGGGTATGTCTAAGGAGGGTTTGTAGCTGTTGTGGTGATCTTTACCGTTACCTAGGGGACGTCCTTCTATTTTAATGGGGTATCCGTTCGCTTGTGTGAAGCCTTTCTCAGGATACTGAAAAACGTGATTTGTTAGTTTCACTATAACGGAATACAAAAAGGTATGTCTCAGTCAACGCTTCATTGAAATATCAGTCTATTCTGTGGAACATCTGATTAGAGAGCCATTAAACAGATGGAAACATTTAGTTGGAAACATTTAGTTGGAAACATTAGTAGCTTTTCCTCTTCATAATATTAGTTTAGAGGAGAACTGGTATTCAGAGAGGAAAACTCACTTGTAAAACTAAACTACATCATGTATCGAGATATGACGCGAAAATGTTGATTTTTGTAAGCTTTGCATAGTTCTCATTAGAAAACTTTGTAAAACATGTAGTGAATGAATATGAGCATTGCTACATGTAGCCATGCTTAGCTTGCACGTATGATACATAGCCCTAACAAGCATATAATTCTCTCTTTCACTGTAATTGTCACTTGTAGGTGCCTTGTTAATATACTTGCTTGTTATTGCTCACTCTACATTTGAAATTTGATGTAGAGCCAGATATTTTCAGTTTTATTGAAAGCTTCTCAACCAGAGCCATTTGAAAGGAGCTCTGAGCGGACCCTCTTGCCCCCTTGAATATTGATGCCTCAATGTGATGGGTAACGATATCTCGCTATCAGCGTCCTTCTCCAACCCCAAATCTAAGAAGAATATCTCTGAATGCTACCTGCATTGTCGACAGTGTGAAGAGTGGGTAAGAGGGAGCTACCTTTTGGAGAAGGAGTATCCGTGTTTTAACGCCCCGACCTGCTCCAACATTCTCAGACCTCTAGACTACCCTCCCTCTCCTCACTACTATCACTGTCTTTGTGGCAACATTGATATTAGGTGGGCGATATTGCAATATAATGTGTGTTCAAATATTGTCAGTTTACTGATTTAGAGTTCTCAATCTTACTATTTAATGCTCTGAAACGGATGTCGGTGTCTTTATACTTCAACTTGAATGGCCAGTAATTTCATTATTTCCTATTCAGGGAGAACTATGGACCTCTAGTACTGGGCTGTTCCCGATGTGGAGATTTGGTCAGACCCACCCTAGAACCTCCCCGGAGACATTATTTCCTGTGCACGTGCAGTAACTACTGGGACAAGTTCTGCTATGGTAACGAGACAGAACCTTGTCTAGCGTGCGGGTTTGAGGTGGTTCCCAGGAGCGCACCTCCTACGTTGTGGTACTTCTGGTGCATGTGTGGTGAGAAGAAAACCCAGCTGAGCTACAAACAGCCAACATTAGACTGTCCCGGTAAACAGTGCAGGGAGAATATAGTGGGGATATCAGACCCTCCTCAGATACTATATTACAAGTGTAAAGCGTGTACTGTGTACTTTAAGGACCACGGTTTCACCAGTGTCCCTCAGCCCTGTACCCTATGTCCTGCTAAGATCTGGCCTTCCCACGCCCCAGAGCTCCAGCACTATCTCTGTCCAACCTGCTGGATGTACTTCGGTATTCGGTCTGACCCGGACGAGAAACTAAGATGTAGAAGACAGGACTGTAAGACTCTGATAACACCATCAATAGACCGCCCTGAGTCTATATACCTGAGAGAAGGACAGTTCATAGCCCCGCCCCCACGTGATAACACCGTCCCTCACACCCCCTGTTACTTCCTCTGCAACTGTGGGGCTCTAAACGGGGACTACTGGTGGGAGCAGAGCTGGAACCCTACAGACCCCCAGTTCTGTGACAAGTGTAAGTTTGACGTCTACCCATTCTCCAGGCCCCTGTGTAACCGACAGCACGTGGGTTACTTTAGTTGTAAGTGTGGTGTGAAGTGGAGGAGCGAGAGGGCGTACCCGGGGGTTAGTCAGAGTTGTAGGGGGTGTAAGGAGAGTGTGGCTGCTGTGAGGACTGAACCTAAGAGTACTAGGGGTGTGGTTGTGTAGCTCTTATTACGCTCTGGTGGTGTTCGGATAACTCCTAAACAAATGACAGTGATTGCTGAACTAGGTGACTTGGGATGACTTGTGTTTTATGACTGGTTTGACTGGAACTAACCAATAAGACTTGTTTGTCTGTGTCCTCTGGTGTCTCGTTGCCTAGGTCCCCGGTAGCCTGAAGAGGGTGATTAGTATCTGAGTTAAAATTACTATCATGGGACGATTTTGACGGAATCTGAGAGGTTCTGCCATGTTTAAGTCCAACCATTAAATTGGTTCTTCAGAATTACTGACCACATGATAATGAGTCGACATAATGACTGAATGACGTAAGCTAATGACGTAAGCTAATGAAGTTAAAGATATTAACTAATTAATGTCGAACGTAACTCTAATTTGAACGTTCCCATTTTGATCTCATGATGATGGTTTCTGTATGATTATTTTACTACGAAATATTATGGTGCTGCAACTATTATTTACCTTATCCGATGCATTGGCTAATGCTATGTAGGCATCGTCGGATTTTGTGGACAGTTTAGTTTTCCCATCATATTCTATCATCTGAATGAGTTCCCTGACGTTGATATCGTCTGTTTTCCTATCGGAACTGATTGCACCATCCTCTGTTGGCTCCCACTCCTGGGTTAGTTTTATATATTAGTAAGGTTTAGAAATACAGCGAAATCCTTGTAACCATGAACATGTCTAACTCAAAATAAAAAACACATTTTTGTTGGTCCTAAATTAGGCATGCAAAACTGGTACGAGGTGTTTAACTGCATACTTGTTTTTAATCTTTATCATATCAGAATCGAATCAGTTATATGTTATATTTCCATTAATGTTGACGGTATATATAGGTTTTTGCAGTGAAAGTCACGAATTCAGATGTTGTCTCACCTTATACTTGCAGTTTTGGTATTCGGGCCTTTTCCAGATGTAAATAAGTCTGTACTTTACCGCGTTCATAAACGACTGAAACATAATAATATAATTTGATATAAATATATCGTTACATAAGCGGTAACAAAATAATATGATTAAATATTTATTTGATTGTTTATTCAATATATTTATTAACTTTATTAAACATGAGTTATTTCCTGCATTCTGGGAACTACAAACTGCTTCCTTAACTACTGAAGATTTATTTAGAAACCACACGGGGTACCTAAACGCGGCCAAGGTTCAATATTTTTGTTAAGACACTACACTCTCGCCATAAATCCAGCAAGTCTTACCGTTTTAAATCTCTTGACATCCATAATACTCTCATACAATATCTCCCCAATGAGGATGACTCCAGACACTGCTATAACCACAAAGAAAGTGTAACACAGCCCGTAGATATTAGCCAGGTTTAACGAGGATGATCTAGTAGTTTTGCCCTTAGAAGCGCAATCTCCCTTACTCCACTTCTTCCAGAGAGCATCCAGCTCATTCTGCTCACTCAGTGTTAGCAGAGCTGCGTTGAAGGTTTCCAGGTAGGGAGAGTTCGGGGGGAACCCAAACGCGTACCTGAATATTAGTATCAGTAGTAAGCAGAGCTGCTTGTTGATAATTTAGACTGTTAAATACTTATGTATCGTGTTGCTTGTGCTGATGTAAGCTGGTGGTTTGGATTAGTGTTTGAAATAATGCTATATAGTATAGGACATAAGGGCGGGAATGAAAAAGAGGTGAACACAAGAGCGGAGGACACGAGGGTGTCGGACACAAAGCGGTACTTTGTGTTCTCCGCCCTCGTGTACTCCGGTTCCCATAATAGTCATAGATTATCAATTAACATTTACCATATTCATTTCTGGAACTGATGTAATATGAATTAATTATTTTCATTGATCTTACGACTAACCCAAAAGAAAAGAGCTGTTCCCCAATGATCTGAAGGTTGCAAGGTTTAGTGTTAGCCTCGAATGTAACAATGGCTCCACCGTAGAAGAAAATGTATTCTTCTTCTCTTGCTCTCATGAAACCCTCTTCCACTGACGCCACACTGTCCTGAGAAGGTCATTCAATTTAATCACTAATAAATACTGAAAACTGAAAAGGAGCACAAGGGTTTTATTATGATAAATTGGTCTTACATTTTCTTGAGGAACACAATTCATGAGTATAACTGTAGTTAAAGTAGACAACTGAAATGATTAAATTAAATGCTGAAGATAAAAGAAATATATTCATTTTGCTAAGATTATGTTTGCGTTTCATTGCTCAACAGCTGTTCGAAGGATCAAATATAAGAACAACTGAAATGAAGATTTAAATGTAAGCTAACCATCCGCTTGTAAACTTCCTCCAGCTCAGAAGACTTTGCTGCTCCCAGTAGAATCTCTGCATTAGTCCCATTTACCGTCCCCCACTTTACTTCATCTTGTGTAATCAGATCTGATATTGAGTTTATACCGTTCTCCATCCGTGTCACTGTCAAGAAAGCTGCCAAGTTGGCGGTGTACATAGCCGTTACGATGAGGATCATGAACCACCACATTGCTAGAATAACTCTGCCTGACATGTTACGTGGCACTCCCTCGACTGGTCCGATGCTGAACAAACAGGCTGCTATCATCCACAGAGAGTTCCCTACATTCATTAGCTCCTCTTTATTCTCACTAGGGTCACTTAGTCTTGTCTCAAACATGCAGTTATCAACCCCTTCATCAGCTGTTATCTTCATCTCCTTATTACATCTGAACACTTCACAGGACTTACAGGAGCACCGCAGAGCTGCGTGCATCCTCCGACCGTAGAACCCGAATGGAGACATATGATCATACAACCATATTAGGAGAACCATCAATACTGCAAAAGCTAAGATAGCGTACCAGAGATCAACATCGAAGGGTTTGGTCCAGAAGAAGGGGTCACTTTTAGCCTCCTTGATCTTTGTAGTCATGACAAGACCAGTATTTATAAAAGGGATAGAGAAATCAATAGCTCTCTCTCTGGCCTTGTTCATAGCAAAGTTTACTGCCCCAACATCAATATCTCCATCTAACAGCATCTTGATTAGCCCGTTCCAGGACCCATTAGGTTCTGGGGACCCGAACTTCTTGTCCGCTGACTCCACGAAAATATAGTCGAACTCAAGATGCTGAGCCAGCCTCTCAATCAACTCAATACAAAGACCAGAGTAACAGAGTTTAGTGTCGTTAGGAGTCTTCAGGGTACAGTTTCTGTCTATCTTGATAAAGGGAGCTTCCTGGTGGAAAGGAGTTTGTTGGAGTGTTCTTACAACTTTCAGTTTGTTATATAATGTATATTTTTAGAGTTTGCTGGGCAATTTCATTTCAATATAATAAAGTCGATACGTTCTCAAAATAAGGTAGGTCGTTTAAGATTCCTACTACATATTTGAAATGTCTAGAATTCTGCACGATGGTACGCTAAACACCCCCTAACCTGTGTGATGCCCAATCTGAGAATCCTTCCCTTCAGACTCCTAACTGCGCTGGTTGGCACGTCAGTAACCCTGCCGTTCCACATGATATTCTCACTCTTGTTAAGTGCCAGTCTCATTCCAGACTCCAGGTTTATCGTAGGCGACCACTCTCCCACCTGGGGGAGTGTTTTAATTAAAATAAATGATCATTACTCAGTGGGAAATGATACCCTTTTAAATATAACCGCAAAAGCGGCCGTTGCCTGTTAGAATTAGATATAGCCGCTTTTTGCCGCTAAAGTAAGATGAGCGACCCAGTTTTTTATTATATGAACAGTAGTCAGCATTGCTGTCTCACAGTCTCTGTAATTAGGCCTAAGCCCTCCAAGATATTTTCTGCGGAAAATCTATACGATGGTTTCCCAGAGTCATTTGTCTTATCACCTGACCCGTTCTTCTATGACAATGCAGCTTTACCCAGGAGTTCTGTGGTCTACCGGGCGAGTACCACCAACTACCATAATCTAATTCCAATGGATGATCTGTCAAGTGATTCTTGTCTACCAAGGTGTTCAAGACACCGTACACCTAGTCTAGTGGTCCTCCTGCCAATACAACAAATTTACTGATCTCCCCATGTCCACCTCTGTTCCGTTTGCTTGTGTGCACGTGCATTTTGCTTCTGTGCACGTGCAAGAACAGAATCCAATCAAGACTAATTACCACGTGCTATCAAAACTCTTCCGCTCATCGCTGTAAAATGCCAATTTGCAAGATAATTTTGATTTGCAAACGAGGCGTTTAGGAATCTGTAACCACAGCTGTCTGTGCCTTGGTCAGAGAGGATCCGCATTCCAAATATATGTGACGCAAAAAGAATGTAGGAATTTTAAATGGCCATAATTTCTGAGATGAATTTAAAAATCACTCCATTTTTGTATATTTATTATTTAAATTATTATAAAAATATATGAAAATAAGAATAATATGTACAATTAAAATACTTAATAATCAATAATTCGCTAAATCCAGCGTCCCTTATTACTATTACTGAGTTCATTTTTGCGTCACCCTGTATATTATGTTAAATTTATATACCACTCCCCTAAGTTCCCAAGTATTGCTGTTTAGATGAGGATGCGCGTCAGTCATCCTTGCGGTTTTTATTTTTAGACCTGCTATACCGCAAATGATGGATTTATGAATTTTATATGGTGTTATAATAATGATACGGCGGGTTTTAAGGACGTAGCGTTTTGTTTAGATTAATGTTTATATTTCTTGGTAAACGAACATAAACAGGTACAGATAAACGAGAACACCAGCTCATACCTTGTAAATCTTCTTGTATCTGAAGTTTACGAGATCATATCTCTTGGAGACAGGTCCCCCTTGGTCATCAAACTGTATTTTAGAAGTGACTCCTTCAAAACTCGACTGAGGAGAACGGTTTTTATTATATCAATAATCATCATCAAAACCGCCGAAACATTTTCACTCGGTTAACATACATTAGTTTCAGAATAGCTATAAAAAGCTGTTGAATTCGGAATATTATTATCAAATGTGGCTTAAATCAGTACATAGCCCCACGGTTCTCAAACTGCCAAACAATTTGAAAGTGGCCACTATTACAGACCGTAAAACCACTATAGTCTATACACCAACTTATTCCTCACCTCCAACATGTAATGAAGCAGCATCTTGCCTTCATTGTAATGGCGCACTGGAGTTGACCAGAAGTCCAATATAGGTGGGTTGATCTCCAGGTGATCCTCGTGCATTACTGTTCTCAAAGCGTTAGCTACTACCCACACACTGTCGTATGTTAGATAAGCTCTGTTCTGAATAAATAAGCTTGTTAGATTCTGCGAGGAAGAGGGAGATGGGTTGGAAGGAGGTGGCATTGCCTTTCACCCGAAGTCCATTAAAATGTAAGCTGTCTGCTGTGGCGAAGACATTTCTACGATTTTTCTCAAAGACTCGGTATATTAAGCCGAATAGTGTGGGTATATTAACCATGGTAATGCTTTTATAGTGACGACCATAGTTACAGATGTAGTGCTGGTATGGAACTATAGTAACGCAATTGCTAACTTAGGTATATTGAAAAAATGGAATATTTGTTGTGCTCCGTAAACCCAATAAACTCATTAGCAACTTTATTATGCTGGAATAGTTTTGCATGAGAAAACCTAAATTCTGCAGTGAAAAGATTGAGATAGAACCCTGATAGTTTTCAAGTTATATTGAAGCACCGATTAGTAGTAAGTCTCGGAGGAAATCAGAGGCAGGCCAACTACACTCCTGAGATTTACAATTTCCGAATTATTCCCTTTTAAAGATATATCATGCAGTTCAACTGATAGTACCCACCCGTAAATCCACCCCTATAGATTCAGACTCCGTTTCTTCAGTCTCTCTCTTAGGACCTGTGGATTGTGGAATATGAGTTGTCTGTTACAAATGTTTAGGTAGATGGTACTTTAACATGTCTCAAAGTCAATCAATACTAATGTCATACAAGATGAATAAAATCCCTGGAAGATATTACACTTTTTAAAAGAGCGCAACTAATTCCATCCCTCTTACAACCTTATCTTGGTCCTCTAAAATGTAACCTAAAATGCACGTACTGCACATAGTTCACGTTCTAGTAAAGAATTTGTTATAGCACGTGCTGTACATAGTTCACGTTCTAGTAAAGAATGTGTTATAGCACGTGCTGCACGTAGTTCACGTTCTAGTAAAGAATTTGTTATAGCACGTGCTGTACATAGTTCACGTTCTAGTAAAGAATGTGTTATAGCACGTTCTGTACATAGTTCACGTTCTAGTAAAGAATGTGTTATAGCACGTGCTGCACATAGTTCACGTCCTAGTTAAGAATGTGTTATAGCACGTGCTGCACATATAAGTTCACGTTCTAGTAAAGAATGTTTTATAGCACTTGCTGCACATAGTTCACGTTCTAGTAAAGAATGTGTTATAGCACGTGCTGCGCATAGTTCACGTTCTAGTAAATAATTTGTTATAGCACGTGCTGCACGTAGTTCACATTCTAGTAAAGAATGTTTTATAGCACGTGCTGCACATAGTTCACGTTCTAGTAAAGAATGTATTATAGCACGTGCAAATGCACGTTTTGGTAGGTGCAGCACACTTGACAATGACACCATGGTGCTAGTTCACACTTTATAGCACGGGTGTTAGTCTAATTTGTATGTTCCGTACCCCAATAGTACCTCCCAGCGATCTCTGGAGAGCTCTTCGTATTTTCTCCTTGGTGGGTGAGTTAGTGGTGGCAGGCACAAACCCTATCACACCTTGCACGTACTCTTCAAACTTGTTACTCGTTTTGTTTAGCAGGTTTTGCTGAGAAAAGAGGTTGTTTTTAGAGGCTAGAGCTTTGAGATGGTGGTGTTAGGTTGTGATCTTGTTTGTCTGTAATTCGAACAATATTCTTAGTTTTCAAAACTACACAAGGATTCAGAAGTTACACGAGACCTGATAAAAGGTGTAAACTTACTGCATCGTTTATAGTTCCATCAGTAACGACCCACGCGTACTGTGGACCAATAAGACCGATATCCTGGGCCGCCTTGAGTATGGGTCTAGCGTAACCACTGTGTACGTTCATAATGAAAATACGAGACTCGCTCCTCTTTAGGTTCTGAATCTGTTTACTGAAGATATCATCATTAGAATAACATTAGAATGATATTAAAATAACATTAGAATAACATTAGAATAACATTAGAATGATATTAGAATAAAATTAGGATAACATTAGAATAACATTAGGATAACACTGTATTTATACGCAATGGTGAATGGTCTATAGAAACCAACCGGTCTGAGGTTTTGGCTGCTGGACCGGCAACTAAAAATTGTTGAAATATTGTTGAAATATTTAGAATATGTTCTCTTGTATGTGTTTTTTATTCCAATTGAACGCTCCAGCTATTGGCTTCAACCGACTCATTAGTTAATAGCCGTCTTTTCTAGATTAAAGAGCTGACATTTAGGACTATTCATCTGGCGTGACACTTTTTGAAAGAGAAATGTTTAGTCCAGTGGAGGAGGTTTTTAGTCCGGTAGAAAAGGTTTTCAGTTCATTTGGACCAGTGGTGTGCGCCGCCGTGTTCTACCAAAATCGGCGGCGGCTTGGTCAAAATTAGCGGTGGCGGCGGCGTTCGGCGGCATGGCCTGTGGACAATTAGCAGTTTCAGTTGTGACTGAGCGACAAAATTGAAATTCATTGCTTAGTATAGGTAAAGGATTGACTTATTAGTATTAATAAGGTTTAGACAGTTGCAAATTTTTCTTCAAATTCAATTCATCGTTGATCATTCGTATGACAGGAATTCACAATTTTATGAAACATTGCATATGCTACATCGAACTACTTGACGTCAGACATGCTAGAGGGATTTTATAATTATATTCAGCAATTATTATAACGAAATACGCGTTCGATATAATTTTCAAATTTTTTTGAGTAATTTTTTGAAAATTCAAATTTTAAAAATACCACGTTCACGCCGTTTGCGCCGCCGATAAATTGTTCGGCGCAGCGGCGTGGGCTAAAAACTCGGCGGCGGCGCACACCCCTGATTTGGACTGGTGAGTTAGTTGAAATACAAAGAAATTCTTCGAATCTTATTAACGAAAAGAATTATGTCTAAGATCCTGAGCTGAGTTTGACTAAACTATCGTCCAAGCTTGTAAATAGTTCCCGATTCAACCACTAGCTTCGCATGCAAGTGCACGTGATCACTGGATCAGACAGCAAAATAGTTCTCATTTTTAGAATTATTGAATCGGAGCTAAAATTGGATCGTAATAAAAAACAATACTGTAGCTACTACTAGCTCACCTAACGTCGATATTATTGACATCTTGGGTAAGGGGATCATCTCGTTCGCTAAAATCTTTATCTTTCTTTTATTGGAGTATCTTTGAAACGTTATCAATCCGTTAATACCTGAGGCCATGACTTGATTATCATAATTTAAATAACAAGCGTTATGATGATAGTAACGACATGAAGACTGTTATTCCCAATTAGCCACCTGTGTTTGGTTTCTCTGGTGTGCCTCATGATTGTTTTAAAATGAATTGGGAAATGAGCAATGCAATTTTAGTGTCGTTATAAAGATCACATTAAGGATAATGTAGCTCATGTACTGAATACAGTGCTGCAAATGATCGTGGTACAAATACCTAGACAACATATAAACTGTAATTCACTTTTCAGTGAAAATTAGATAAAACATCATTTTTTGAATGGGGATTGTTCAGAAAGTCATGTAAGTTTGTATTGTGGGAAAATGAACATGTCCTATTGGTAAAGGAACAGGATAATTCTCAGGAGACTTTTTCAAGAGGCTTATGAATGAAAAGTCTATCGATGATTAACCCTACAACATGTCCTTATCCAAACAACGCATATCTAATGGAACGTTAGCGATTTTCCTTCATAAATTAAATAGTCTACATCAGCTCCGTGCTACAATACAGGTGCCAGTATGCCAGCATGTGCTACAATACAGGTGCCAGCATGGCTACACACAAACTAACGACACTTACCGTAACTATCCATACTGCTGATAATCGCTACACTATTCCACTTCATAGTCTCTGCCAGGTCCAGTAACGCTAAACTCTGGTACTTGTCCAGTGGTTGGAGGTGCAGTAAGAATCCGGACCATAGTTCGTTACGTAGGAACGGGTCTGGGCAAATGAAGTGGTCGTGAATAAAACTTGTAAATTGGTTGTGTAGGTATGAGAAGGTTCAGGAAGTTTATGTGAAGTGCTCTGTAAGCAGCTTTCTTTCAGTTTGAAAAGTTGAAATTGAAGTTTGCAGTTGTATGCCAAACATTTGGGGTAGGATCTCCAACTAGCTATTTTAAACTTGGTCACTGGTTTTAGTCATAATGTCACCTTATAAGTACACACGACTGTACAGGTGCTAGTATGTAAATGATAACATATTTAATGTAACTGACCTGTAGCAGTGGGGGTTATCATTGGTATTCTGAGCTCACTGAGAATATAGGAAGCCATCTGAGCGTGAGATGATCTGAAGGGACCTATCACACATGATACTCTCTTGTTCACCAGGTCCAACACTGAGGGGATGTTTATAAGATTTGACTGTATCTTATCAGAATACAATAACTTATCTCGCTATTTCGAGAAAAATAAAATTTCCCAGGTCCTTTCCTCATTTCCTGAGACATTATTCCTGGAACTAGCACTGGTTAGTAACCAGTACTAGTAACTCTCTACCATTTCTAATAATAGCACTGGTTACTCTGGTTACAAGTAACAATGGCTACAAATACTAGTTACCAGTACCATGGTTACGTGTGACTCCCTACCATTTCTGATGATAGCACTGGGAGAGTCCTCGGGGGAGTCCATCTCCATGATGACAGGTTTCAGGGTGGTGTGAGGAAGTACTGTTCTGTTTCCGTTTATCTCATCTAACGCATAGCTAAACGCCTTGTCTACCTCGTCCAGTCCTTTGTACGATAACAGACCTGGGATTTTGTCATCATTAGTAATTACTGTGGTTACTGTGGTTACTACTTACTGGTAACTGATGTTACTGTGGTTAATGTAGCCGTAACTGTGGTAACTAGTTACCGACTAGCTGTTATGCTGGTCATCAGTTGCTATGGTTACTATGGTTACTGCTTATCAGTAGTCATGATCACCAAGGTTGATTTCATTCCTTCTAATATCTTATTCTCTCAATCAATGACACGTTCAGAGCTTATATTTGCTTATGCTGCTGAAACGTTTAGTACAGAGCAGAGGTGAAATGTAAATAACCCTTATTATTATATTGGAGATTCGAGATTCAGATTGTGAAAGGAATATTCACTATCCATTTTATAAATTCATCTACTGTCAAATTCATCTACTGTCAAAATCATTAAAATTATTAACTGGGTGTAACATAATTTATACTTTGCAGACAGGGGATCGTTTACACATGTAGTGATATTCAGTGATATTTGTAGGTTTGTTTACTTTTTCAGAACAGGGGCCACCTCTCACACACGCACACTTCCGCCTCACATTTAACACACTACCCCTACTACTCAATCAAAGCATATTTGGCTCCCACGTTTCGCACTTCTCATTGGTCAATGCCATTCCCACCATTTTGCTTCACACTAGATACGTACCTACACACTTCACATCATTTACATTGTTCACCGTTGTAGCATTCCACGTTTATGTAATCATGCTATAAAAGTTTGTCGTCGTATGAACTAATTTCTGTAATGACTTTTTGTAGGCAGTATCCAAGTAGCCCGACATGTGTTCGCGAACAGGTGTGCTAGGGTTAAAGTTATAATGACAGATAATTATAAAGTAATGATAAAAGATAGTACGGCATATTACCTATCCTGAGTTCATTGGGGAAGGGTAGAGAAGAGTGGAACAAGGAACAGAGGATGAAAACAACAACGCAGCGACAACTCACATCTTTTATCATGCTACCTACTGGGTAGAAATGTAAAATTTTTGTTATCAGAAATACATCATGGTGCTATTTCCTTTATTTGCACTACAGTGCTCAACTTGATGTCAAGGAGCAAAAAGATTATCAATTGAAAACACAAAATTTGGGAAAAAACAACATTGTTTTTGGCTATTTTTACTGATGTTAAAAAGAGAGTGGAAACACAGGTGTGCTCGTCCGCAGTTGTTAGCAAAAATGAACTTTGGCACCAATTTACAACATGGATATCCATCATTCTTGACCTAGGGCCCCGGCTGGCCTCTCATCCTTTTAAACACATCCTAATCAACAGTCATGGAACTAAGTGACAACTTTATCTCCATTACCACAAAGTTCAAAAGATACCGGTCATGACACGGAAGTTTAAATAACAAACTGGCACAAAGCGTATGTTCTAATGACCGGACTGTCCAATGGCGCAGGGTAAACATGTGGTCGTCTAATGGCCGCTTAATCAGCTGATTATCCAATTCCTCGCACACAGCTCATTAACGAGAATGGTGGTTATTCTACTGAAATGATCTGTTGGCCCAGCTTGGCGGCTTTGCATGGCATTTTTGTATTATTGTTCTCATCGATTAGAAATTTTAATGTGTTAAATAAACTATCTTTAATATAACTGGGCAAAAAGTCAGTAAACGTATGTTGGGGTTTCTTATCTAGCTATGAACCTTATCATGTGATTGAGTTGAAACTTGATCCACATTAAGAGAATCGTGCAGGAATCCCAACTAAGGTCGTCTTGTCACGTAATAAATCGTAATTAAACAATCACCTAATTAATTTTGTTAACGAGATAAACAAAATGCTTGATAACTTCGTCATTTCCTATCCGTTTCGTATCATTCTTTTCAAATCAGATGCAGCAATTAATGATCTTCTACAGACATCTGCAAAAATGGGCGTCTAGCATGTGCAATCGCAAATAATAATATTGGTGATTTTATATTGAATGGGCGTGGTCTCAAATATTTTAATTTTCAAATTTTGGCAACAGAATCTTCGAATGAATACAGTATATCATTTGCAAAGCAACAAGTCTAAAGTAGTAAACACGGCGAATCGGCGATGTTAATATGTTATACGACCCAACGTATGTATAACTATACTGACTTAAGTTGAAATCCAGTGTACTGCCGCCACTAAATTGTATTTTACTGACAAATTCCCTGACGATCCTGATTCCGGTCAATTATCAGTCTTGATGAAAGAAGCAAGGCCTGCATTAAAGCAGACAGCCGGTGGAGAGCTTGCCCTGAATTCTGAATTGCGTAATGTCTACTGGGACATTACCCTGCACTTAAAATTCATCGTATTAATACTAATAATGCATATTTATTGTTTTATGTTTTTAGGCCACAGATATTCGTACCGAGCGGTACCTTTCATCCCTATTAGTATTATTAAAAATATATTTCATTTAACAGTTCGAATTTGCTTTACAATTTGTTTAAATTTGATCTTATTATAATTTTATGATTTTAAAAATTCCAAGCTACTTGGATTATAACATGCACTTACCCAAGTCCCGACCAAACTTAAGACAAAAGTAACGGACCTAAACTGGTCAGGATAATGAAGTTTCACTGTACACAAAATGTTGAAATCCAGTGTACTGCCGCCACTAAATTGTATTTTACTGACAAATTCCGTGACAATCCTGATTCCGGTCAATTATCAGTCTTGATGAAAGAAGCAAGGTCTACATTAAAGCAGACAGCCGGTGGAGAGCTTGCCCTGAATTCTGAATAGCGTTTCAAAGAAAATAGGTTATGTCTACTAAGATGTGTCTGCGTGAGGTGTACTTCTTTATTAATTGGATGTACTTTTTTAGTTTTTACATAATTAAGTACATTTAAAAAGTAATTTTTTAAATATTTTGGAGTATTTTCACTTCGACAAAACGTTCCAAAAATGAGGATTTATAGTGAAACAAAATTTAATTGCACTACAGGGCAATTCCACCGTGACGGACACCACGATTATGCCATTTTTTAAAGTTCAAACGAATGTTGTGCTCAGGATGTTGCTTCTTTATCAGCTTAAACTATTTATTAGTCCACATTTAACCTTTCTATAGGTTGTGTGAAAATTTCAGACCCCTACCATTATTACTTTCTGAGATAGCACCCCTGTGACGGACGCGACTTAAATATGACACTTTTTTTGGGTGTCTACTCAGAAGGTACCCAAATCTATCTCAAAACGTTATCTATTATCTCTAATTTGGACATGCAGTGATAGAAAAAGGTTTAGGGATTTCTGAGATACCATTTTTTTGGAGATTGCTCAGTTTTTGTTTGCGTGGCGCCATTTTCAAATTGTGACAGACGTGACTGTGACGGACACACGTTTTTTTTTCAATTTCTCCAAAACTTCTATTTGACACTTTTATCTTGTTCAGTGACCTTCATTCTATATTTATGCCAATTTTTAGGCCGCTAGTACTTCCACGAGGTCTGCAATAGCCAAAATCGTCCATTTTGGGCATACGCGAGGGTATCAATCTAGGGGCAGCAATTATTTCTCTACTTGAACAAATTTATAACTCTGGTAAAACATTCATCTCTGTTCAACACATCACACTGTTGAGACCATCTCCCAAAAGTTTCATTACTTTAGTGTTTAAAATGTGGAAGATATTGAATTTTTACTTCAAAAATATGCGAAAATAGGGTAAAGTCCATTTTTTGTGCCTTTTACCCCTGAAAAAGGTTAAGGCAAATAAAATGGCAAAACTCAGTAAATTTAATTATTGAATTGCATATGATGTTATTTGATAGTCTAGTCAACATATTCAAACCTTATTTGACTTCAATTTGTCTTGGTTTTAGTCAAAATAATGGAAATATGGATAAAAATGGCTAAAAGTGAGCCGTACGCCCATATATGGGCATATACAAAATTATACATAACTCAGTCATTTTCTGTCCAATTTTCGATTTGACAACATCGTTTTGTTAAGAACGGTCTCAGCTTTCACAAAAATGCATTTAAAGTCTGTTAAAAGATTTTTTGGAGCATTTTCAAAAAAATGTGACGGACGCGACAAGTTGGGACCCCCCTTCCAAAAATTTTTTTTTAAAAGATACAAGCCTGATAATTTCTACGGTACTCCCTTACCTTCAGAAGAGATAGGTTACAGTGGTTTTTTGAATATAAATAGCACTATGTGGCTCTGAAAAAACTTTTTTGCTTAATTTTGTGACGGATGCGACACCATCTTTGTGGAAATTTTTTAGAAAAATTATTTGAGTAACGGTTTTGAAACTTTGCATGGCTCTCATTCTTATGCCTATGCTTAAGTGTATGGAATTTCATAGAGAAATATTCCTGCATACCCAAACTATGGCCCTTTGAAAATTTGAATGATTTTTTTCATTTCCGAGTAGTGTTCCTTTGAATGAGAAAAATCAAAAGTTAATGCAATATGAAACAAAAAACTTTTGTTGACCTGTAAGGTTAAGAGTCTAATGAACATATTTTAACCAAAATTAGGTGCCTATCTTAACATTTTTCATTTTCACCAAGTGGAACCTTACCGTGGAATTGCCCTACAGTCAATTTAAATTTGCTGCTGTGTACCAATACAATCAAAACAACCGCAAATGTTAAGCTAAAAGAATCCAGAGACCTTATCCTTAAAATGGTGAGAATGAAATAAGCTAAAAAGACACTAAATACTAATTCACGCCTTCAAAAGGTGAGAATGCGCTAAAAATACGCTGAACTCCTTTGTTCGCCAGTGAAGTTCCTGTCAAATCTGACAAATGAAGGCCAGTCATTTGCCAAACCGTACAGGAAGCAGCCCGAGTAGTCACTGGAACAGAAATACACAAAACATTTATTCATGCTCCAGACTCTAATCTGGCGTGTCTACAGCATCTTATAACTCAATTTGGACAAGGTTTCGCAAATGAAGGAAGGCATCATGAACGAGACAAACAATATGTGAATAAAGCTGAAATAGTAAGAATAATATCTGAATGAAATCAGAATAGAACAATTACGAACAAGACACAGGCTATTTTTGCTGTAGAACGGCAAAAGCAAAGTGGCAATTGTAGGATGAAGAGAAGAGGCAGTGTTCCAGTTATTATGGCTGTAATCTTCTCTTCATTACGGCTTCCTATCTGCATATTGCATGCGTTACCCAAGTTATGCTCTCGCTGGTGCTATATTTAAGATATAATCAATTTTTACTGCGCTTTTGACCGTCATAATTAAAACCATCGGAAAAGTGAAGCAGACATATAATATAACGAATATGTGATGAACCTAACAGGCTAGCGGTATAAAGACTTAGTGAATGTTTAGTAGATTTAATTTGTTAACATTTACTAAGTCTAATTACCTATTAAGAGATCAGGCTAACAAAATGAGCTCTTATAATATGTTTGAAAAATCAGAACTCAGTCAAAACGATTACAATAATATCCGCTTGAACGGAGATTGACTTTCATAAAACGAAGCTGCGAATGATTCCGAGGTTCGAGAAGCTACGCAAATAGCGGAAAACATTGACCTGTAAGTGTTGCTGGAAGCATCGACTAAGCGCTGCATAAACCATTAACACGGCATGATAATCGCATTTACCTATTAGTGCTGTACATAACACTATTGACATTGTTAGTCAACATGCATGCGGCTTATGCGACGATGGAAGGAAAATTCATATATATATTTCAAATAAAGTCCGGTAAGGAATATATTTCTTATACGTGTATCTCCTGTCCTATAACTTATGGCTCTTATTTTTAATGGAGCTAGTATGCAATTATAGCGGTGTTTACTTACTATAAAAACTTCTATACTACTATATACTACTATAGAAGTACTATGTAAAGATAAAGACAATTAGTATTGATAACAAATACACACCTCATATTATGTGGAATAATAATAAGGTGGTTTGAGAAGAACAGGTCGTATTGATGATAAATATGTGGTTCCATGCTATATCTGATTTAGAGCGCC